TTTTTTTTTTTTTTTTTTTAAAAGCCATCAAGCTCTCAAGGAAATGCTTATCACAGTGTCATCTCACTGCCCAAAGGTAGTTTGGAGAAAATATCAGTAATCCATAAATAGCACTGAAGCATGAAGAACAGCACTTTGGATTTAAAAAAAGCATCTTCAACAAATGCTCAAATTATGGAGCAAATATTTTATATTATACAAACATGGAGAGAGGTGAATTAAAATATAATTATGGAAACATCTTTAATGAAATCATGTATGTGGAATTTAGGAAAAAAACATGTACACACATAGACATAGTTTTATTATTAATATTTTTTTACTTGTTTTCATGTGGCTAAGGAAGTAGTTTGCTTCTTTGAAGTACTTGTTTCAAGTTAAATCGTTCCCTTTGTGCCGACAATTTCCCAAGCAACTCTATTTCATTAAATGTATTTAAAATTATTTTAAATTTCTTTACAAAAAATTAGCCAACATGAAGAAATCCCTGTTTTGCTGTACTCTTTCAAAGAAAAAAGAATTGCTACTTATAATAATATTTATTTTTAAAATACTGTTTTTATAGTCATTTAACTAAAAACCAGAAACATATCTTGGGTGAACAATGAAAAGTTTGGTGTATGTTGAATTTACAGATTTAATACTGGGAGATGCTTAAAAAAAAAAAATTGCCATCTTAATCTTAAAATATAAACTTCTACAGAACCAAAATACATAATCTAACTGGATTAAATTATGGCTTAAATGAAATTTAATTAGGATGGACACCTACCTTTTTAATTGTTTTTGTCTGGACCAAAGCAAGTTCTCTATTCTCATCCGCTACGTACAATGAAAGCTTCACGTATGGATCACTGTAAGAAAATATTTCACATTTAATAGGATACTTTTCATTTACAAATTATAAAAAAGAAATTAGCCAAAACCTAAATGAAAGTGAAAATATCAGTTAACAACCCAGCTCATGTAAACTCCACTAACTAAGCAGTATTTTCAACATACATACTAAGTAAATATACCAAGAATTTTCTATCAACGAGAGCCAATGATGTCTACTTAGAAGCAAAAATATCATGAAACTCATATTCTAACTTTAAAGATAATCTTCCCTATTAACCCAAAATATTTAATCAGCCATAGTTTTTTTCCTAAACACTCTGAAAAGATTTCAAGGAAAAATATTAAAAGGCATATAAAATTTGTTCAGATCAGCAAAATCTGGCTAGCCAATTTAGTTCATGTCTTATTTATAATCTGATTTCCGCTATTTATGTATAAATTATTTTTCTTTTAGTGGAGGTAAAAGACATTGTGCACCTAAATCAACAACTAGTATCTTACAAATTAAAACAAACATTCAAAAACAAAAAACTAAGGCCCAGGAAGTCAGGGAGATTTGCCTAAATTTATAGATTTCAGTAAAGTCAAGATTAAATTTTACGTTTCCTGACCACAAATTCCAGAGTTTTTATTACATCCTTGGGAAACTGAAAACTTTTAACGAGAAGTGTACTGAAAGGATTACTTAACGTGAACTATCTATCTACTAAGAGTGTGATAAATCCACTCACGTGTTCTGGTATGGGTAACCTGGGATAGCTCAAATCTAGATGAATTATCACTTTATAAGAATTTGGGATCCAGGTTCTTCCATTTCACACTTGAGACCCTGAAAATCATAGAAAGGGCTCCATGTATTCAATTCCCCAAATTTTCACCCATCTAATTATCTATAGCTGATCATTTATTTCTACCCACGTTGGGAATTATCCTTTAGTGGCTATACCATGACCATTAATACTTATTTTACAACTTCTAGGACATTTCCAAAGATTACAGAGTGTTGTTAATGCTTAAAACCATATTGATTTTTACTTGATATGTCAATAAATATGCCATGAAATCCTTTAAGGAAAGAGAAAGGTGTGATAAAATTAAAAGTTTGGTAGTAACAGGACTATACTCAATACCCCAAAAAACAAAAATCAGAAGTCAGTGGAAAAAAATATATATACATAGCCTTTATTATAATATTCATTACCCACAAAAAACGTCTTAATATAAGCTACAACGCATCTCCTTTTCAAAAAAAAATAGCAACAGAATTTGCTCAGTTTTATTGTAAATGTTCTGGTTAGAAGAAGGCTTGGTTCAAGAACATCACTTATTTAAGAGGGGCATCTGCTTCTCCTTTCCTGGACACCTTCAGCATCAGAATAAAGATGAATGGGGAGACAGACCTAATCTAGGTTTAAAGGCCCCAAGAGCACCTTCCTAATCAGTCATGGTCAGGGGACGAATTAGGAGTCAACTGCTGTGTGTTTCTCAGACTGGAGCGTATCAGGACTGCCTGGGAAAGGGGGTAGTTAAAACACAGATTGCTGGGCCCCAACTCCAAGGACACCTAAAGATCTAGTAGGTCTGGGGCAGGGCCCTAGAATATGCATTTCTGACAAATTCCCGGTAATGTCAATGATCTTGATCCAGGAACCACATTGAGAACCAGTGTTCAGCATGGCATTTAAAAAAGAGTATTTTCTTAGCTACAGGAACTATTATTCTATTTCCAACTACCAAGCTATAGTTTNTTTTCTTAGCTACAGGAACTATTATTCTATTTCCAACTACCAAGCTATAGCTTAANTCTCAGACTGGAGCGTATCAGGACTGCCTGGGAAAGGGGGTAGTTAAAACACAGATTGCTGGGCCCCAACTCCAAGGACACCTAAAGATCTAGTAGGTCTGGGGCAGGGCCCTAGAATATGCATTTCTGACAAATTCCCGGTAATGTCAATGATCTTGATCCAGGAACCACATTGAGAACCAGTGTTCAGCATGGCATTTAAAAAAGAGTATTTTCTTAGCTACAGGAACTATTATTCTATTTCCAACTACCAAGCTATAGTTTAAAAAAAAACCTCACACCAGACCTGATATCTCTGTTATCTCAAGAACAGGTTCCCAGAATGCCTTGGACGTGTACACACAGGCACACACATACACAAGCCCACATTACAGAGAACTCCATAAACCCTGCTGACTGCCGTCTCTTGTTTTCATGTCCCTCGGCAACCATGACTGCTACCTATTACATAACCGCAATAAAGAGCAAAGCATTCCCTTTAATAGAACATCCACATTCTTCTACTAATCACTTATTGACCTCAGTTTATATCCCCTAAATAGTTCACAGTAAGTGACAGACGCAATTGGGGGTTGAGAGTGGGGTCTCTAAGTCGGGGACAATGTGTCCCAGCTGTAACAAGGAAGGCATGCCTGGGCATATCTTGAAGTGCTCATCCAGGTCCAAGTAGGCACCAAGATCAACCAAGGAAACTCCTGGAAGAGAGAACCAAAGACCAAGGCGTGGGAGTTGTTGAAAGGACAAGAGGGTACAAGTTCAAGAGGCGGGAACACAGGCACAGGATAGGCTGGTTAAAGGGCAGGAACAGGTAAGTTCAAGGGTGTCAAGGGCGGTGCTGGTGGGAGCTGCCCAGACTGATGGTACAGCAGTGCCCTTCGCATCCACAAATATTTCCTGAGTACCAACTACATTCCAAGGACACTGCTAGGAGCACACACAAGTGCTAGCGGGCTGGGGAAAGGGTGGGCAGAAAGGGGTGAAGTCAACGAAGGTCACAAATGGACAGTTACGCATGGCCCTACTTAGCCCAGCTGAGTGAAGGCGGCTGGCACCTTCCCATTTCGCGAGGTGAAAGCTGGAGCACAAAGCTAAGATATGGGTCAGGGCATCGGGAAAGGAAATGAGCAGGAAGATGCCAGAGCAGCCTCAACAGGAAGCAATTCTCCCTCAACTATCAGCACAACCGGCACCGGCACCAACATGACCACAAGCCCAGCACCCAGTCACCACGAAGCATCCAGTCGCCTGGCACACACGAGGCACTTACTTACATGGGCGTCTCAGTTGATCCTCACTGCAAGCTTATGAAATTGGCACATTTTTCAGATGAGAAACTGAGACCGACATCAAGCAGCTTGCCCAAGGTTTATCAGTAAGTAGGGGAGATGGGAAGGGAGGGACACGGGCGCGCGTGCTCCAGAATCGGGCTCCCCGAGTGCGCGCCACACGGCCTTGCTGCACTCACGACCGCTGGCGCGAGAGAGCTGGCTGGAAGGAGTGTCTAGAGGCAGGAGTTTCTAGAACTCTGCCGTGCTGGAAAACATTCTGGATGTGACTGCTGTTATGATATAATTTTATCTTTGCTGTGGGAGGAGAGGAACAAGGTTCCTGAGCTAAGTGTCTACCTTTGGGGAAGGCCACACCTTGTGATCTTATCTTCTCAACACTCCAAATAACTAGCTGTGTAACCTTGGCCATGTCACTTTAGCACAGTGAACCTTAATTTCCGTATCTCCAAAATAAAGGGGTTGGACTAAACCAGTGGTTCTCGAACTGCAGCGCCTCAGTTCTGCCTAAGTATCTCAGACTAACTACGGGCGACCATTCCACCATCATCTGTTTTATAGACAGGGCTCCACATTAGATAGATTTTATTTGGATAGGGTTTTAGAACTGAATAAAAAACAGTTCTAAAGCCACTACACTGGATGGTCCCTTTCAGTCAGAATATTCTGAACCTCAGAACACTTCAAACTTGTTTCTTACCTTTCATAAGAACTAGAGCCCAGCCCAGCCAGGTGAACGAGGAACTTCCTACAGATACAGGAGCAAGAGGGAGTAAGGCCCTAACCTCTACCAAGAGGCTTTCTCCGTCAGGACAGACAGCCACAGTTCTGAGTATGAGAGACTACTCTTGACCATCACTGGCTGATATTTCCCTACACGTTACCAGCTTCTAACCAACTTACCTACTAGGAATCAAAACGTATCACCTAAGCAACAAGCAAAACAAAAAAGATGTGTTTTTGTGTCTGGGACAAGCCTAAGGGACAACAAACCTCACCCCCAGCTTCTTTTCAAATGCTTGCGTGTTGGTATTAACCCCTGATGTTCAGGCCTTCATTTCTAAACAGGATGCTCTGCAGGAACGAGCGGTAAGAGGAAGAATTCAGCTTCCAGAGACTTTCCACACGACTCCACGTGAGCCCTCGGATAAAGACTGCACTTCTGGAAGAATCCTCTGCCCCCTGAAGCTGCACCTCACAGATCCTCAAAACATCCCCCACCTTTGCTGTAAGAGGTCAGCCAATCCTGAGGTCAACGGTTAGTTATGTTCACTATTACCTCCCCCTCCTACAGCATCAGAACGTTTAGGAAAGACACACAAAGAGGCTCATCAGCAATTGCGATTACAGGGGGCAGATACAGGGCATAGGGACAGAGAGTTCTGGTTTCCATGTTGCTCCCTGGTTACACTGTTGTAAGATTTTGTGGTTGTTGTTAATCATTAATACATAATACTTTTATAACAAATAAAACAGGGGGGCACAGAGAGAAGCAAGCAGGAAGACGACCATTTCTACTGGAGTCTTAACTCAGCTTCACCAACCTCTGAGTGACCTCCAGACAGGCACTCGATCGCTCCTACCTTCAGACTATTTATGAATGAAATGGGAATGGGAGCTAACTCAGAGGGTTACTGTAAAGATCAGAGACAATGGTGTATTAATTTAGCACCCAGCTAAGCACCAAACACGGAGTACATGCGTCCTATAGATGACAGCCATGGTAACTGGGGCTCTATTCTTTTTCCTCTTGCAAGATTTTTAAGCATCTCTGTGACTCCTTCTGACCCCTACTTCTGCTGTGATTGCTGATTTGATCTGACACTGATTACCTCATAGTACAGACTGGGTGCCGCCAACCACAGCACACTAAGTTGTCCCTGCTCCCTCGTTACTCATGCTGTGTGGAAGCCCCCTGGGGATC